ACAAAAGGGGGGAAATTGTCAGAATATCAATAACAGCAACCCTAATATCTGATAATTTTACATTATATCGCTTGTTGTGCACGCAATTTGGGGAAATTTCAAAAACTCGATCGATTCGAAGCTGGCGAGAAGGAAATGAAAAGAAAAACACAAACAAACAGCAATGACAAGAACAAAAAAAAAAAAAAAACCTTTTTTTTGTGGGACTCGATGCATTTGGATACGAAGTGGAAAGAGAATACGAGGACGAAAATCGCCGGAGCTGCCATGGATTTCCCGCGCTCCTCTGAGATTTCTTCCATCTCTTCTCTCCTTAGGCTTTCTTCCTTCCGACGGATTTTGTCTGTAAATAGATTGTGATGTGTATATCTGATAAACGACCAAAAACGACGTCGTGAGAATGTGAAAGTGATTGTTGGTTGAAGAGGATACATACTTTCTTCCTTAGGCTGTGTTTGGTAAACCAAACAGCTAGTTTATAATTTATTTAATTAGCTTATAAATTCTTTTAATTTACACAAGTCTTATTTAGTATGATGAGCTTATTTGAAAAGGTTGAGCTTATTTGAAAAAATTATGATACAAGCGTTTAAGAAGCTCATGCCAATCTTTTTACTTTTATTATTGAAACTTATATTTGTCACGGAGTGCGCGAATAGTAGTACGAACTATAATAAGAATTGTAAAATGCAGAAGCAAGCAACCGAAGATTAACAAACTCTTCAGGGAAGCATCCCACTTCCCCTCAGAGCTCTTTCATTGATAGATCACTCATATACATAGTTTGGACTTACAAAGACTCGAACTCCCTTCAAATCTAGCCAACACTACTTGATCCTATCAACTAATTCTCCGGCCACGTCCCGTGGACTTATAAAACCTACACTTACTCCCTAAGTGTATAAACCGTAAAATAGTTTTGATGAATGAATAAAGAACTAATCGAAAGCAGTACCAGTCCTTGAGTTTGTAAGAACTCTTAGACTGAACTGAATACAACCAAAATAGAACTGAAAGTAAAATGAAGCTTGAATGGCTCTCGAATATTTCTCAGTAAAAATCAACGGCCGCCATAAGCTTCTTCTAGGGTATTTATATAAACTCCTTTTAGGGTTGGAGTCTTTTACAAGGCATAGGACTTCAAACAAGATTTACTTCCAAGGATACCATATCTTTGGTAAGTAAATCTTCTTTTCTCTCTCTTTGATCTCCTCTCCAAGCATGTCTCTTTTCTTCCTCTTCCTTCTCTCCTCACGAGCGATTCCCTGTCATTTTAAAAACCATAATAAGATCTACACGGACTTATATAAGGAATATAAAATAATATTACTTAAGGAAACATAGTATACAAAGATCTTCCCTTTTATTCTGTGGTTCCAGGTGCTTGTTCGAACTAACGAACTAATGCAAAAATAAAATATCTTTCAATCTCCCCCTTTGGCATCTAGTTCGAAAACATCAGACTTGAAAGTCTCCTACAGCAATAAAAACAACAAGCACCCACAGATAAAAGCAAGTAAAGATTAGTTCAATACATCACAAGTTCTCCTTAAAGCAGTTCTCCCCCTTAGTTCCTGCAGTCATCAAAACTCAATAGAATGCTTCTAAATTCACTTCAACCATAGACAGTAAGGACAACAAAACAACAGCATTAATCCCATAAAACAAACTTAGTAGCAAACAGAAAATAACCAACCACATAAAAAGCTTCCCTACAACCCTCAAAACACACAAAGAAACAAAAACTACTCCAAGCTAACTACTCCTCATCTCCAAGCTTTTCAGTGGCATCATCAGACTCTTCATCCTCTTTCTCAATGCTCTTACTAGCAGCAGAAACCTTCTCTCCCTTTTTCGAACTACGGGATGCCGAAGGGCCTGTCCCCGAGTTCCGAGTTGATCCCTTGACAGCCTGCAGCACTTGGCGAAGATAAACCTGTTGAGCAGCAACCTTCTTGGCCAAATCATCCCACTCGCCAAGTTGCTGACCCACAAACTCACCCCAATTTTTAGGGACCAAGGAAGGAGCGAGTTCCTTCGAGACCTTGGAAATCCCTTTTTCATTCAAAGTACGAGCACTAACAGAGAGTGCTTTCCTGGGATTCTCAAGATAGTCTTGGAAGCGAAGGTTAACAGTGAAATTATGAGCAGACAAGAAGGACCAAATGAGACAAGGGAAGGGAAGAGTTTTGCGGGACTCAATGTTAGCTACAAAGGATTGAAGAATATGGAAGAAAAGATCCCCAAAGCTAAAAACTTTCCCAATCATGACCCATTAAATGACTTTGCATTGCAACTCGGTAAGCAGAGTTTTATTTGAAGTGGGGGTCCAGTTGCCAGCCCCAATTTTATGCAGCAAGTTAGCAACCAAGCAAAGGGAATTCACAGAGAGGTTAGAACCAGGCCAAATATCCAACTGACCAGAGGTAAGAACAGTGGTCATTTCATCCAAGTCAACATCAGAGAGAGAAGAGCTATCAAGATCAGAGGGCAAACCAAGATGGGCATTAAACAAAGCAGGAGACACATCAATCACACGGTTGCGAAGAAAAAGTTTATGAAAGCGAGGGCTATCAGAGTCAAAAACAGCAGGAGTGGGATTAGCATAGAATTCTTTGACAGCTTGTCCACAAAAGGGCTTAACATCAGACACGGTCTTAGAAAGGCCCACTTGCTCGATCAAACGAAGCACACCAAGTTCAACAAACTTACCATCGGTCACAGGATGTTCCGACCAGAATTCATAAGATCCAAAGTTAACAAAACGTTCATGGGCCGCTTCGGTATAGAATCGATTGGTGAAAGTGTTCTCAAGATCATATGCATCATCTTCAGGTTCAGGAGGGACAAGAGGTTCGTCGATGGCCTTCCCACGACGGCGGGTTGAACGACGGACTGGAACCTTCGAAGGAGGCGATGGTTGGTCAGAGTGAACTTCAACGGTGGTAGCTGCCGTGTCATCCTTTTCTCCCTTGGTAGTCGTCGTTTTGGTGACAGACTTAGTTGCAGAAGTTGGAACAGCAGATGACTCCCCCTGAGTTGGGACGGCAAGTGGTTCAGCAGGCCAGAAAGTCCAGGAACTCTAGTTGCAAGTGGTGAAATCTCAAGATTCTTGCGGACATTGTCAGATTTCGACTGAGAACCAGACGAAGAAGAGGCGTGAGAAGCAGATTTAGTTGAATACGAAGATTCAGGGGCCGGGTCTTTTGCTGGTGGCGAAGGTTCACGGGCAGAGCCAGTGGACAAGGAAAGACGGCGGCGCTTGAGTCGCTTTTCTTTTTGCTTCTGGAGTCGTCGCTTGGATTTTTCTTTGCCTCCAGCCATGGGAGAAGAATGACGATTGAGAGAGGAGAATTTAGGGTTTCAATCGGTGAGGATGAACAAAGGAGAGAGAGAGAGAAAAAAGAACCAATAAAATGAAATAAAATAAGAAGAAACGTGTGTTAAGATCAGTTGAGAGACGTTGGATCTTAGGAAACCGCAAAAGGTAGGTTCCGAAAATCAAGGTGGTAATGGAGGCGGTTTTAGGAGAGAGAGAGAGAGAGACGGAAAAATTCAAAAATAATTAGTGAAACTAATCCCTCCAATAATCCAAAGATCAAACAAACCAAAACCATTCACACAAATAACTGTTCTCATTATTTCGAAATTTTGGAAAGAAATCAGATTTTACCCTTGATAATGTCCTCCCATATATTCTCGGATCATTGTTCAAAAAGGAAATCATATGCAAACATGCCTAATTATGAAAAGGAATAAAAATCGCACACAAAATGCACTAAAATCATAAGATCTTTTCCTCCCCAACTTAGACAAGATTGACGGCAACAATCAAAGACCAACTACAAGATTCAAACTTTCTAAGGAACATACGCTAAACGGATATATGTATATACACAGAGTAGTGCGAACCACAACTTCCAATATATATATTTTTTTTTTTTTTCGAAAGAACACATGCTTTATTATTCATAGTGCATTTCACTTAGTAACAAGCACTGCAATAGTGAAAGTCGACCCCACTACTTTGCACTACAATTTTCAGCAAGGATCCCAAAGTTTTTTTTTTTTTTTTTTTTTTTTTTTTTTAAGTAAAACGCACTACGGTTTTTATGAGGGTGACCACCTTATAACTTCGCATAAGAACACCACATAGTAATATGCAGTGTGTGTCACTAGCTTACGCCCTTCTCAACATTTTCTGTCCAAGACGCTCTTGTCACAGTCGATCCCGCTTTGGGAAACGAGCCATGTGCTAGCTATCGCTCTAGATCATTTATGAGAAGGCAGCTCTTTTTGACAAAAGAAAACAAAAATACAGAAAGTAAATATGTTCCTCAATCTAGTAAGAACTCGCAGTCAGCCTAGAACTGCTAACATCACTCAGGTTTTCAGAAGGATCAGAACGTCAATTAAGAATTTAGTGGTGAAGAGAATGCATAATGCAAGAACATGCCTAATGCCATATACCCTATATGCTTACACACAATGCAAATATAATAGATACTAGTATACAATACAATATAATATAATGCAAATACACGCAAGCACTCAGTATGAACAGATCCCTAAGGATTTCCTTAGAGAAGTGAACCTTTGAGAATCCAGTGCTTTAGTGAATATGTCAGCCAGCTGGTTTTGAGTAGGAACATGCTCAAGAACAATCACATCATTCTCAACCAAATCTCTAATAAAGTGATACCGGATATCTATGTGTTTAGTTCGAGAATGCTGAACCGGATTTTTAGAGATATTAATTGCACTGGTATTGTCACAAAAAAGGTTCACAGTTCTTACCTCAAGACCAAACTCAATCATCATTTGCTTCATCCACATGAGCTGGGAACAACAACTTCCAGCGGAGATATATTCGGCTTCAGCGGTCGAGAGTGCCACACAATTTTGCTTCTTACTAAGCCAGGAGATAAGATTGTTCCCTATATAGAAACAACCACCAGAGGTACTACGCCGATCATCGACGTTTCCAGCCCAATCCGCATCACTATAACCTGCAAGACTAGAAGATGTGTCACGCGAGTACAAAATACCTAAGTCAGATGTACCATGCACATACTTAATAATATGCTTTACCGCCTTTAAATGCGATTCCTTAGGATTTGCTTGGTACCGGGCACACATTCCAACACTGAAGCACAAGTCAGGCCTACTAGCCGTCAAGTAAAGTAAGCTGCCTATCATGCTTCTATAAAGCGTAGAATCAACAGAGGTTCCAGCATCATCCCTAGAGAGCTTAGTGTGGCTTCCCATGGGAGTGGCTGGACACTTAGAATTTTCTAACCCAAACTTTCTCACAAGATTTTTAGCATATTTGGTCTGATGAAG